TCAGCCACCACGCGCCTGAGCCTCGGATCCAATCTCTCTGTCCATGCTAAACCACCTAGGCCTTTGATCTATCACCTCCTAGTTACAGGTATCCCTGCCACCCCCCAACTAGCCTTCGCGTAAATCCCGCTCTCCTGGACGTAGCCCCTGAATAGCTTCTATTCCCTTGATCTGAGCATCGTTTCCAGAGCCGGCGCCCTACGCTTTCCGCTTAGAGTTAGTGTGACAATAAACTTACAAAAAGCTCAAGAGGTCAAAGCTTTGACCAGTGCCAATCAGAGTCAGAGGCCACGCTTCAGGCGACACAACAAACATCGTCATGGCTGGATAGCACAGTGGTACATCATCAGGCCAGTCCAGCAAGTAAGGTCTAAATAGCTTTGAAATATATCTCACTCGAGATAAAAGGTCGCTGGATGTAGGGCTTTGGTCTTGTACGAAATTATTACATGTAGGAGATCGTTGGTTAGGATCCAGTAAAACACAACCATATTCCTAGCGGCGCTAGTGTACATGGACGACGAAGGCATGCCTTGATAATTCAAGGTTATAAAGCTTATCCATGGTGATTACTCACGTAGGAGGGCCAACTTTATGTGCAAGCAAGCATATCTCGTAGTGGTATTTGCGAATGAAATCCAGAGCATGAGTGTCTCCAACTTCATAAGAGTCATCAAACATATATTCATAGCACTGATTATTTGTCATAGCTTGATGACGGAATACACAGTATATTATTTTAAAAACATATAAGCTGCGCCTAATATCCATTTCATTGTGTCTATCTATTTACGAATAACCGAGGGCCATTTTTAGGTTATAAGTTACTACTGATCCGCCAGGCACGAATCGTTGTTAGGTCACCTAAAGAATGTGGATAAACTCCCACCCAACAAATATGAATCATCCTGGGGTTAGAGTCACAGTTATATCTGACCAGTGTAACAGTTTCGATGTAGAAAGCTTGGGCGTTTGTAAGTTTAAAAGTAATTTTTTTATCAGCTGTAAATTAAAACTAGTATCAAATCCAACGCCTTATCTGTACACAAGATTTTTTATTAATGTCTACGAGAATGTAATTCAAAGTTATCATGGTTAAATAATTCAAATATAGTTAGTTTCTCATGAAGATTCTAAAAGTCCTCCATAGTCATTGATTCAGATAGGACTTAGATAAAATTTAATATGATCTAATCTATACACAAGAGCTTCCTATTCAGAAGGCTTGTAGCTTTTCCCCTGTGGAGCCCTCACTGATGAAGTGTTACCTGGTTCCCGAGAATACTGTTTTATTAATTGTATCAGATTTGAATTGCGTATGCGGCTAGCTAGCCATGACACAATATTGCGGGAAAAGTATAAAAAGGATGACTCAATATACAAGAGCACTAATGCCTCGGATTTCATTTGCAAGTACCACTGCGAAGTTATTGCGGCTTTTTCTTTACCCCAGGTCAACCCTCATCCGTGAATACCCACCCAGGGGAACATCTCAAAAACCCTGTGTTATCCGGACATGCCTCAATCATCTTTCAACTTTTCTCCGCGCAATATGTGATCTGAGGTGTCTCTTTCCCAAGTGGAGTAGGTGCCCAGGCTACTCAAACTATACCAGAGAACACCACCAGGAGGCGGATCACAACACCTTCCATCGTTGGCTTGTGTTTATAGTGTCAGCTGCACTTTCGCAAGCGAAGTCTTGACGCGCACAAAGCTCAATTCGTAAAACACCTTGCCAAAATTCGGAATTTCACGCCCTTCGAGATTAAATCCTTCTTTTGCATCATGTTGTCGACTTTTCCTGATAACTCTCACGTCCATCCCAAAGAATTGTCTTTCGGATTTTTGTGCCACGCTTTTTTTCCTCTGTCGGGTGTATATATCGGCGTGGGCATGTATTTGGTGGTCAACCGAGGCCAGAGAAGGTCGAAGGGTGGTGTAGTCATTTGAATGAGGATGTACTTGGTCGTACTTGTAGGCTTGACGAGACTTAGGTAGGAGTCGAACACGTTGGGAGCGAAAAAACGACGTGGAGGAGTAATTTTGATTTCTGCCTCGTGGGCCAACTTCTTTGATATTGCGAAATTTGACTGAATTTGGCTCTGAGAGGATATTTCACTCCCAGGTTCGTAGAGGACACCGCCTACAGGTGTTCAGTCTTGCCCTCCAATAATTTGTAGTTGATCCAGCGTAAACAAGCTATGCCACGATGAGCCGCTCATGAACGAGTAAAATGAGAGGGAATATTCTCAGCACCTGTCAGTAGTGTCCCCTACGAGCCACCGACTCTCATTGAAGGGTTTGCAAAGCCGAGATTGAGTACCAAAGTCCTCACTTCGACGAGGATTCCTAATCGATATCGCCGTCTGTATCGTCTTCATCTCTGAACATATTTCCCCATCACCATTATCATGAAGCTAACCACGATCAGATTAGATGGTAGGGTCGAGCGCTTCTCATCACAAATCCTTCAACATGGAGAAGCAATCCGGTGAGTTTCCAGAGCATACCCAGCACCCGATACGGAGATGTTGAATCGGATCAAGATGACTTCTAATGTTACATAGAAGGGAGTTTTGGATGAATATGCGCACCTCATGTGGTCCTGATGTCTAGGCCTCCCTAGCTGGGGCTGCAGGTTTTTTGAGACTTTTTCCCACGCACGCAGTTTCCATCGCTACCATTTTTATTTTTTTGGGTAAAAGGCTTCGCGGAAAAGGTGGCCGAAACCCACGGGTAAATACTGAGCTGAATGGCAATCATCACGGGCAATCTATGAACGGTTATCAAGAAACAAAAGAGAATAGAAGCACTGTAGATAGCGTGAGAGGATTCAGGACAAGTTGATAAGATGATGCAGAGGATGGATACAGTGTCGACGGGCGTTAAATTTTGAATTTTGGCAAGTAGTTTTTACAAATTGAGCTTTGTGCGCGCCAAGACTTCGGTTGCGAGAGTGCAAGCGACAGTATAAACACCGCCATAGTTGGATGGTGCGGTGGTACATCGTCTAGGCCGGTCTGCCAAGTAGAGTCTGGATAGCTTGGACACATATCCCACTTGAGACAGTAGATCGCTGGTTCAAATCCGGCAAAACACAACCACATTTCTCGCGGCGCTGGTATGCATGGATGACGAAGGCATGCTTGGATAATCAAAGGTTTTTAAATTCCCTTTGGTGGGTACTAACGGAGAAGGGTGGACTGTTTGTGTAAGCGAACATACCTCATAGTGGTATTTGCAAATGAAATCCAGAGTATGAGTGTCTCTAACGTCAAAAGAGTCATTCCACATGTTTACATAGCGCCCGTCATGTGTCATAGCTAGATAGCTGAATACACATTAAATGATTTAAAAAAAAAAAAAAAAGAGCCGGCAAAGACGAATTCTTCACCTTCTAGTGGTGCCGGTGAAATGGCTCAGTATGCTCTGCATATCTGGGATAGCCAAGAAGAATCGCATCCCAATCGAAGTCGAAAGCACTCACAAGCACACTTAAAATCGACGACCTCTCGTCAATGTCGGATCTATCTTTCTCACGCGAGTCCTCCACCTCAATCTTACTACACCACCACGCCTCAGATACCGATGATGGCGTTACTCCAATTGCAATCGGGCATTTGTCTTATTAAAATCCGGCCATCTCCCACTACAAATTTACGATGCTATGTACATCCGCGAGGAGGGTTGGATGGTGCAGTGGTACACCACCCGGGCCATTCTCCCAGGTAGATACTGGGTAGCTTGAACACTTACCCCATTCGAGACAAGATAAAGCTGGTTCGAATCCAGTCATACCCACACACCACACTCTCTCGCGGTGATATTGTAATTGTGAGATGATGAAAGCATACTCGGAAAGCCAAAGGGTTTTCACGCTTTTCCCTGTGGTGGGTATGCACGGAAGAGGTTATACGCCGTAAGGGTTAACCTCGAGAGGTATCTGCAAATGAAATCTGAGTGTAAGTGTTCTAAAAAGTCAAATTGAGTCATCCTACTTAAAGTCATATCTTCCGATAAAACCTGCATGGGCCTCAAGGCGCCAATTGGGGAAGATGAATTATATATGTACCCGCGAGTGTTACGGAAATACTCCCTTGTATGTGTACTGTCTGCGCCAGTACGGTAGAGAAGGAATCCAGGGTCTAGTCAGCTATAGAGACTAGCAAGGGTGGAGATTGGAAACGGTTGCTAAGCAACGGAGACTGTTATGATCAGCGTCATTAATTAAAATCCCTTATGTAAATAGCAAGATGTAGGAGATCTTTAGATTTCGTTAATTAACTGATTCTATTCTGTACTTGCTCTGCTGTATACCAACACCAAATGATCTGGCGACAGGGATGAGGAATTTAAGTCATAATATACAAAGCTCGGGTTTTGGTCTATGGGGGATCGTTGTTCTTGTGGGGGGGCTTCACATCTTGAGGGAGGACAGGCAGCTGGGACGCGGGAGGAACGAGGGAAGAGGTCACAAATGTGCATGCTCGGACGCACATTTTTCGAGTATTTTCGACTTAAGGGTGTCCGTGGGCGCCAAGGTAACGACTTAGGAAAGTGCTACCGACACTCTGAAAACAGACGACCATGCGAGGTGTTTTGGTCCGCCTCCTGGTCGTCATCTCCCTGAATTAAAGTCTGGGTAGCCTGGACACGTACCTCACTCGAGAAAGGGAGAACTATGAGGCCATATCTCGCGTGGTGGCTACATACAAGATGGCAAAGGCATGTTAGGGCAGCTAAAGGTTTTTCATGTTTTCCCTTTTGTGGATATTGACGGATGAGGGAAGGGTGAAAGTCCCTAGCACCAAGGTCTCGGGTTGTATCAGCGAATGTACCCACAACATGAGTAGTCCAAATTTCAAACTGAGTTATCGTCGTATATAGTCGTAGAAGCTATTCTTCTCCGTGTCATGCTCTTTGAGCGCAGGACTTGTGCTCGTCACGAATAAACATTCACTCATTCATTCATTCATGACGTCATCCTCGAAGATTTACACTTAACACATTTCTAAAGCTTTCATTGTCATTGCTTTAGCGCCCTCGATTGTCTTGTTTCCACCAATAAACCCAGCAGCGTGCACGAAAATCCCACCGTCAATGCCAGTGATCTCATCTAGCTTCTCATCTCTCATTCCTCTCCAGGCTTCTGGAAGGGGCTTCCTACTCTGAAACGAACCCTCCGCCTCAGGTACACACTGAATCCTCCAACGAGAATTGACGGTTGTATTTTCCGGGTACAGCACGTACAAGACCTTGGGATTGGCGGCATTCTCTCCTTGTTCTAAGGTGTATAAATGGTCCTTCCATGGAGGTGAGTTTCCGTGAAAGATGATGACTCTTCCTTGGGGGTCACACTCGAGACGTTTCCTGTAAGCTTCATGTACAATCTCTCGAGCCGGAAGCCAGGACTTGGTGAAATAATCAAGACCTCGTAGAAACTCTTCTCCTATTTTCTCGCTCGCTAGACAAAACCTCTCATCCTCCATCTTTTGAGCTTCGACTGGATCCTCAGGCACGACATCGTTCCACCTAGGATTTAGTCGCCCTACCATAGCTCCTAATGTAAAGTTATCGCTCCTATATCTCTTCTTAATTCCAGCGGCAGAAATTTCAGCCGGGTCAAACTCCGAGATTCCATTGTCATGTGCGTCTACTGCTTCGATAAAATTTTCATAGATTTTCTCCCAGATGGTTAATACTTCGGCAGTATCTTCGCCAACGCCTAGGTTTTGAGCAATAATGGCCTTACCATGATGCATGTAAACAAGGCCAGCAGACGAAAGTTTAGTCATACGATTGGGAAAAGTCGTGGTGAAAGTTCGCTGGTGATGGTCGAAACGATGGATAGTGGCATCGTATTGACCGCCCACGTCGACTACAGTGTGACATGTATCAAGAAGTTCAGAATCACGCGTTCGCACCAGCTGTGAGTTCCGATAAGCAGGTAGGAGCCTGAGCATATAGACGGCTAAGGCTTCATCGGCATGGAAACAGCCATTGTGGGTTCCGATAGTGATGGGGGCCGTTTTGAGTCGTTTGGAGGCAGCGCCGGTCATTTGGCTGAGCATTGGGATTTATCTCCGTCGATGTGTGAAAATCCGGGCGAAGCCGGTAGTAGTAGGCTTGCGAGTTGTTTTCAAATTATATGAAAATAATCGAAAGATGTGCGCGACAGACGTAACTTTTACGGTTAGTAAAAAGTCTTAGATAAGCTTGGAAGGTGAGCTGCAGGGGTCCGCAAGAACACCTAGAATAGTAATAATTGATAGAAAACCTCTAGAAATGACCAGAGTGGAGGGTTAAGGCTGAATACCTGTCAGGGGTGCCCTCTACGAACCTGGGAGTTAAATATTCTCCCAGAGCCAAGATTCAGTCACGAAAAAGGGTGGGATGAATTTTTCTGATGGATTTTCGCCTAGATCTAGTTGCACTCGAGAATTTGGTTGAATAATCAGTCGGCAGAGGTTTCTATCACGTGCTGGCGTCGTGTAAATACTCGGATGTTCAAAATAGATATTTGTAGTTGCACAAGGGTTGAAACAAACCTTGCAAGCAGAGATCTAAATCTAAGTATCCTCGCTTAGAGTAACGCCATTATTCTCATGTGACTACACCATAACTAGTTATCCCTGTGATAACTTCATAGCCGAAACACCGCCCTGTGGGTCCCGTGTCCCGTGACTTAGGGTCGCCCACAATCTTGGACATAACACTTGTAGCTAGAGGAAAGAAAGAGATAAGAAACAATATACTTCATTAAAAGTGTTACTTCTAGTAACAATTGTAAGCAGTCGTTATAAGACTCATTTTATATTAGATACGAGACTTGAAGTAACAGCCCTGCAGGGCCTGTCAATCAGCTCCGTATCAGCTTACTAGGCGCTCCAGAAGGAGCTAAAATCTTAACTGAGCGGCTGGCTTAGATACAGTTTTTTGAGTAAATTTATCCTCGATGAGGAAAATACTTTAAACCTATTGAAACATTATAAATTTGGAAACCTCGAGGTAAGTTTGGAAAGGCATGGAAGACTCGCTATTTATTTAGCATTAGCTAGAGGAAGAGTTGTATATCATCATGCTTCCAAGCGTAACTTTTTCCTGTCTGCAGTTTTAGATAACGCAGTACAGCATTGTAATTCGTGTCCTTAGATTAGATTTAGTTAAGTCCTAGAATCTAGAGCTCCGGCTCTAGAGTACTTTGTCCCAAACGTGATAGATATCACGTTGGAATTTGCCACATTTCTTACGATAATTGGCATTCCTTGCAAATATGAACAACTTTCCTGCATGCTGCACAATAGATCCTGTATTCTACATTTTAATTTCTGTTGAAGTATCAGTCACTGAGCCCTAGAATACATGTGACTTGATTTGTAAGCTGGTCTAAACTAGAGTCTACAGAGTGTATCGTAGGTGTAGAACTTTGTAGCATAATAATATACATAATAAGCTTCAGGCATTTACCAGCAGTACAGTCTTCTAACCATATCTTCCTCAATAGATTATGAGACCAAATAGCTCATAGAAATCATAACTGCTTTGTGTTAATAAATATCCTAGCTTACAGTACCACCATCTTTCCTGAACCATAAGAGGTCTCCGACCTGTGGCAGAAGGTGGAAATATAATCATCGATTATTTACAACTTATCGATATTATCTATATAGAGATTATATTATTAAAATTTCCCGACCATCGACCCAGACCACAATGTCTCAAGAATCCGGCGCCAGTTTGTCGCTCGCCTCTAACCTAAAACTTAGGGGTGAAGAAAACTACCAACAATGGAAGTTTAACATCGAAAATGTCGCTCGCCTTCACGAATTGCGAAGGTTCTACCATTCAAAAGCACCAGCTCCTCCAAAGTTGATAGACGAGTTTGAACAAGGTGTGTCGGAAGAGGAGTACAAGAAGTACAATGAATGGGCTAAGGGAGATGCCAAAATGAAGCTGTGCATTTCAAACAATGTCTCGTCACCAATCTCATCTCAGCTGAATAACCTTAATACTGCTAGAGAAATGTGGGATATGCTTGCTAACCAATACGAAAGTTCTGGAATAGTTATGAATCAGCAGGCCATTGCTAAGTATATAAATCTTAGGCATACAGATTACCCCTCAATAGACGAATTTATCATAGCTTTCCAAAACGCTATTGATAACTTAAATCGCCTAAACATCCCTCCTCCTGAATCATGGCACCCGCTAGTCTTTCTAGAAGCATTGAAGGATTCATATCCAGTCTGGGCAGAACGGCAAAGAGCGGCCTGTAGGGAAAAAAGGTCAATATCTCTCAACGAACTAATACATGACATTAAGGACGAAGCACGAGCCGATAGCAAATCTAGTGGAAGCCAAATGTCTCTCTATGTGAAGAATAATGATAAGAGCAAATCTAGACCAAAGCCTATAGAGTGTAAGATCTGTAGAAACTCAAAAGCTCGGCACGCAAAAGGAAAGTGTCTTGAAGATCCCAAAAATAAAGATCTTCTCAAGCAGTGGGAGGATAAACACAAGAAAAAATGGAGAAAGTTTAAGGATCAAAGTTATCATAGTTCCGGTGGTAAAAGCAAAGCAAAAGACGATGATACCAATAATGACAATCCACGATTTGGAGGCCTCGCCTATATTAATATGTCTGTATTTGTCGCAAACAACTCCGATCGTTGGCTTCCTGATACGAATGCCTCGTCACATATTGCAAATTCCCTGGATAAGTTTGACTACTATGAGGAAGTTCCTAATCTACCTTTGATAACGACAGCAAATGGACATGCTCAGCCGCGGGGCCTTGGTACAGTCACTCTTCACTGTAAATTATCAAATGGGGAAGACAACCCCTTTGAATTAAAGAACGTCTTGTACCTACCAGAGTGTCCGATAAATCTTTTCAGTGGCAATAAACTACTAAAAGTAGGAGGATATATGAGAGATGGTAAAATGTTCGGCCCCGATGGAATTGAGTTTGCCACTTACAATAACTCTCTGTACATCAATGAATCATTTGTCACTGTAGCACTCCCGATAATAGCTCATCATTCAAAACCTAGCATCGACCTATGGCACCGTCGACTTGGTCATCTAGGTCTGAGAAATGTCAAAAAAAACCGCAAAAATAACCACTGGAATATCTTTTGATGCTGATACGTCAACAATTCCTTCAAGTATTTGCGAATCGTGTGAGCTATCCAAACCTCTCAGACATGTAAGAAAAAGTGTTTCATCCCGACCTCGGAATCCTTTAGACTCAGTTTCAGTAGATGTTGTAATTATAAATCCAGTCGGGAAGACCTTGATCGATGATTCTTGGGTCGCCGTACAATACTGTACGATGTTTACAGATGCGGCAACGTCTTTGCGATGGGGATATTTTCATAAGGAAAAGAATGGCGCAACAGAGGCCATAAAATATTTCAATTCCTTAATGAAAACTCAGTATGATTCTGTAATTAAATGCTGGAGATTAGACTGTGGGAAGGAATACTCACCTAAGATGTTAGGGGAATTGGCTGCTGACTTGGGCCAAATCATCGAAACCACGACTCCTTATTTTCCGGAGCAGGATGGACGAGCTGAGCGATCTATTGGCATCATAGTCTCCAGAGTTCGCACAGTCTCCATCGAAAAGAATATTCCAAAGTTCCTCTGGCCTGAGTTAGTGAGATCCCAACTTCACATAGCCAATCGAACCGCCACCTCAGTACTGAACGGAGAAACACCCATTCAAGCGTTTAACCGTCATTTCACGGGAGTTGATGAAAAACCTGGCTTATCTCATCTGAGAGTTTTGGGGTGCAAAGTCTACGTCCAGATTCCGGTTGAAAAAAGGGTTCTATCCCAAAAGCTAGACAAGCGAGCGGAAATCGGCATCTTGGTCGGTTATGAAGGATAGCACATTTACCGTATATTTATCCCCTCACGAAGAAGGGTGATTCGGTCTTCGACTGTGCGGTTTGACGAGAATAGCAGTCTAACTTCAATTGAAATTAATTCCGGAGATTGGAAGAATTACACACTAGCCTCAAGTTTGATTAAGAGATACAATAAATTTGTTTACTATACGAAGAAGTTTACTGATGTTTAATGGATAGTTAATTGTGATTAAATTGCTATATTTCTATATGTGTGGCAAGAAGTCCCTCTACATACATGAAAGCGGGGTTTTCCGCACACTAGTGTGAACTCCAACATACTCCCTAATCTAACCTAAACGGGAAGGTTGTTGGAGATCCTGAAGCCAATGTATACTGTTAGGCATCTATTGGCTAATTACTATTCATGCCAGTGAGTGATGATATGGGTTAATCATATCTCATGGCGCCAGTGCATATTATTCTAATATGTACTATTTGTTTACTGCAGTCATGTTGCTGCCTTAATTACAACAACTTCTACACCTCCTGATGAAGAACTCTGGGAACCCATATCTTATCTCTCTAAAATTAACGTTGTTGAAATTAGTGGCAAAGAAACAAGTACTTCCAATCAACATGAGTTCTCCCCAAATATACTCACCCCTTTTGAGCACCTAAGTTTTGATAGACATCAAGAGGATAAAGAACTTGAAAGCGTGGAAAATGAGGTTATTGAGGCTGGAGATGAAGAGGATGAAGAAACTCGACAGGATGAAAATTTACTTATGGAACATTTCGATGATCCGCCAGTATCAACGACAGCCGTGTCACGAGGTAGACCGCCCGGAAGTAAGAATAAGGTGTACCAGAAAGTAAATCGAGTTACTTGCAGCACAGCTGAAAGTTTTGTGCCAGATCAAGGAGCAGCCTTTCTTAGTTTTGTGGCTGCGTCACAGTCTCTTCTTACTGTTGACAATAAATCCGATCCAAAGACCCTTGTGGAGGCAATGAGTTGCAAAGATTCTTGGAAATGGAAGAAGGAAATTGACTGCAAATACAGATCACTTGCAAAGAAAAATACATGATCACTTGTTCGACAATCTAGCCTACCAACGGGAACGAAAGAACTGTCAGGTAAGCTAGTTCTGAAGACGAAACGTGGAAAAGAGGGTGAAATCCTGAAGTACAAAGCACGCTGGGTTGTTAGAGGATTT